TCTGAGGCTACACTGATGACACAGAGTTTCTGAACCTACAAGGGTGAAGGTCAGCATGTGCTAACAGAGATTTCATGTAAACAAGGCCCCCCTGCAATGTTTTCTATGAAATCTGTAAGAAGGCTTAGAGCTACATCTTACTCTTTCACTGGTTCAAGGTGAGTCTCTTATTTCATTGATGTTCTGCCTAATTATTATCTATTCATAGGGACATCATTCCTTCCAACTAATCAGTGTTTGGCAATTAGAGGCAATCAAGTACAGTTCATGTCTCTATTAAAGTGGGAGTGATTCAAATGAAATAAATCAGAAACACTAATCAATACGGCTACGTATTTTGTGCAATCAATGAAGACTTTTAATATATCATCTAAGCTGACTGAAAAGTAGAAAAAAAAGTTTTGTTGCATTTTTTGTAATTTTTGAAAAGTACTGAGATACTGTGATTGCTTAATAGGAGTGGGAACAGATCAAAGAAGGCAGTGAATATGACTGAACTATAATGAATAATCATAGTATGTTAACAAACATATTAAAGGTCATTCAAGTCCAAGGAATATGTGTATTCTTAAGTGATGTGTAAGCATAAATAAAATCATAAGCAAAGTCAGTCTCATCAAAATGACCAGTGCTATGCATGGAATTCCCATTGCCCAAATGACAGAGAAAATCACAGGACAACTGGAGTGAAGACTTGGCTTTGTCACATAATCATTAGCCATATGACCTTGGTTGTATAGCTCAGCTTCTCTGAGGGTCAGAGTTTTTCATCTGTAAATGAAGATAAAGTACTTAACTCTCGGGAATTTTTAAGGGTTAAAGATGATTATGCATATGTCTATTTTGACAGAGTTAATACAGTTACATTTTCTCCTGGGACCACAGCTAAATTATATATTCCAGCCTCCCTTAGAGTTAGGTGGGGCCATAAGATTAAATTTTGAGCAATGGGTTGTTGGAAATAATGAATGTCATTTTCAACAGAGGGTTCTAAAATGTCCTCCACAGTCCAAGCTCAGTTTCCTTACTTGATGGTTAGATAACTTTAGGACTTCAAAGAGTATGCTGGGAATCTGAGGAAGTATTCCCCAGACTTAGTTGTTACATTGCTGCACTCCCAGATGACCTTCAATAGCCTATAAAATGAACATAAATAAATGATTTGGTTATAGTTGTACGGAGTGAATTTGCACTGTCAAATACCACAGAAAATGTTGTTATTTTCTTTTTTCTGTTAACTAGTAGCGTTTGAGTAGCACAACAGTTAAAGGGAAATCTACCGTCTGACAAACCAAACACAGCTGATCTGATTTAATTGTTAATTTAACATTTATTGAACCCGTAGGTGCCAAGAACCATTATAGACACTGGGAATAGGATGAGAAATTCAACATAGTTCCTGCCCTCATGTAGCAAATATTTTAGCAAATGAAATAGATAATAAGCAATTTACACATGCACACACACATGCATGCACACACACACACAAACATGCGCACATGCACACACACATTGGGTAATTAGCTCTATGAACAAAAATTTAACAGGCTTACACCTGTAATTCCAACACTTTGGGAGACTGAGGCAGGAGGATACCTTGAGGCCAGGATTTTGAGACCAGCCTGGGGATGTAATGAGACCCTCCATCTCTACAAAAAATTTTGAAATTAACCAGGTGTGGTGGCATAAGCTTGTAGTCCCAGCTACTTGAGAGGCTGAGGCAGGAGGATATTTTCAGCCTAGGAGTTTGAGGCTGCACTGAGCTATGATCATGCCACTGTACTCCAGCCTGGGCAACAGAATAAGACCCTGTCTCTTAAAAGAGAGAGAGGGAGAATACAGTATGATGAGGGACTGTTTTTAAAAAGGAGTTCTGAGAAGTCTCCTTGGGAGGTAACATCTCAACTGAGTGTGAGAAAGAAATTCTCAACTCCAAAAGCAAATTGCAAATGTAAACGCCTGAGTTAGAAACGTGCTTGGCACATCTGAGGACTATCAGGGAGGTAAGAGTAAGTAGAGACTTAGTATAGATAAGAGCAAGAGGTAGAGTGGTAGGAAATGAGGCCACAGACATAAATAGGGCCAGATCATGTAGAAACAAGACCATAAAAAGGACTTTGGGTTTTATCTGAAATCTGATGGGAATCATGGAGCAGTTGAGACCAGAGAAATGACATGGCTTAACATTTTTTAAGTAGCCACTCTGGCTACTATGAAAAGAACAGTCTGTAGAGGGCAAAAGAATAGAAGCGGCTGGGATAAACCACAGGGGAGGAGGTGCTGCCTGAGCTAGCATGGTAGTGATGGAGGCAATGCAGTGGTGGGTTTAGAATACATTGTTAAAATGCAACAGACAAGATTGCTCCTGCACTGGATATTGAATATGAGAATAACAGAGAGGTCGAGCAAAGCTCCAAGGTGTGATCCGAGAAATTGAGTAAAAGCCGGTACTATTTGTTGAGAGAAGGTAAACTGTTGAAAGGGCAGTTTTGGGGTGGTCATAGGGAAAAGTCAAGGGGTCTGGATAAGTTATGGGATCTTCAAGTTATGCCGGTGAAATATCCATAATTTACTCTTACATCAATTGTCTTCATATTAAAAAGTTTTGAAAAGTTAGGTTGCTCCATACCAAAGACCTTTTCCCAGTAGCTCTGCAGGTATCCAAGGAGAAAGACTGCCTTTGGAACTGAAGTGGCTTTGAGGGCAGCTAGGATGTGAGTTCCTGTGTTGGATACCTCTTGTACTCCACCTGACCTCTTGGCCCAACTTTTATTCCGGCCTTTGCTTCAGCATACAGATTTGTACTTCTATGACCTGACACCTGCCTTACTATACCACCCTGAAATTCCCTGACGCCCTAGTGTGGGACATGTGTGGAATCCATGTGGGACAGACACATATGGACTTGGATGTGTGAAGAGATGGAGCAATAGCTTCCTGATCTTCCAGTGATCACAATGGTAATATGAACTTTAGCTCCATAGTTCCAGAGGCAGCCTCCTGATTTCCTAGCATCTGACGGTGCCAGAAATAACAGCTCACTTGGGAAGTCAGTTCTATGATGTTTGGGGAATTATTCTAGTGGGTCTGAAACCCACTCCTCTAGTGTCTTTAATAATTTGGTAAGCAACTACTTCTCTGTGTCAGATTCCTTTTCGCTTAAGATTTTAAGGTATTAATTCTTTTTTCTCTGAACTTTGGCTGATAAATGCAGATTATTCCTGTACTAATATTACACTCCAGGAACCAGTAATTTCTACATGCTGCATTGGGGTCTTATCACAATTGCTGGACATTTATACAACAGGTCCTTTCCAATAATCCCCAACCCAAGGATAAGTCTGAAGACTGAGGATTACAAACAGGGCTCTGAAAAACAACCTGCCACAAACACCACCACCACCCCCGCCTCTGGCACAACTTTGATTCCCCTCTTTGTGGAATACACCTTAAACAGCCAAATACTGGAATTCTGTTTAAGACAGAAGGCTCCGTAGTCACTTCACAATTCAAAATGCCTAATTTTAAGTTTCACTGACCAAGCAAGGTAGCACATCATAAGCAGGTTTCCTAACTAGAGAAGAATTAAATCATTGTACTGTGAATTACATACACATATGTATATATTATATCCACAGAATTATAAAGCAAGTAGAGAAAAATATGTATAAACTTGGCAAATCTGGATAAAGGGTACATAGGAGTTCCCTGTACTATTCTTGCAAATTTGCTGTAAGCTCAAATTATATCAAAATAAAAACCTATTTTAAAAAATAAAGGGAATATTTAAGGATATAGCAAGAACCTTCAATTCTGAGCAATGTCATTAGGATCCTGTGACTAATAACATCCAGAATCCCTAGCTCAGCTTCACAGAGTATCAGTATTGGAGGTCGTAAGCTTTTACTTTCCCTGGAAGTCATATATCTATAATCTTTTTTTGCAAGACAAATATGTAATGAATGCCTAAATTATGCAGTAATCCTTACTTTTTAAAAATTTATTTTGTTATTATGGGTACATAATAGTTGTATATATTTGTTGGGCGCATGTGCTCTTTTGATATTGGCATACAATGTGTAATGATCAAATCAGGGTCATTGAGGTGTCTATCACCTCAAGTGTTTATCATTTCTTTGTGTTAGGAACATTCTAATTCCATTATTTTAGTTATTTTAAAATATACAACAAATTTTTGTTAACTATAGTCACCATGTAGTGCTACCAAATACTGGATCTTATTCCTTCTATCTAACTGTATTTATTTAATAAAAAGAAATTATTTCTTTCAGAAAAAATAAAGAAAGAAAAGAAAGAAATTTACCCACCCCCTTCCCATTTTCTTAGGGCACTTATTTTAGAAAATTTGCAATTGTAAGTTCTTTCTCCTGTCTTTGAAGTGAATGTAAATCTTCTTGAAAACTAGATAGGCTTTTTGTCAACTTTATGCCTCAGGAATGTTTTTGTCAAAGACCCGGGAGCTATCTCTTTGAAATGTAATTATCTATGGGCCCCAGTGGATCATGACTGTAATTCCAGCACTTTTGGAGGCCAAGGCCAGCAGATCACTTGAGGTCAGGAGTTCGAGACCAGCCTGGCCAACATGGTGAAACCCCATTTCTACTAAAAATACAAAAATTAGCTGGGAGTGGTGGTGGGCACCTGTAATCCCAGCTACTCGGGAGGCTGAGGCAGGAGAATCACTTGATTCTGCGATTCCCGGTTCACTGCAACCCAGCAGGCGGAGGTTGCAGTGAACTGAGATCGCACTGCTGACTCCAGCCCAGGCAATAGAGTGAGACTCAGTCTCAAAAAAAAAAAAGAAAGAAAGGAAATGTAAACATCAAGGGAGTTAGCATCCCTCATATGGTTTGGCTGTGTTCCTACACAAATTTCACCTTGATTAATCATCAGGGAAGTTACCCGTATGCTGTTCTTGTGATAGTGAGTTCTCAGGAGATCTGATGGTTTTTATAAGGGCTTTTTTTCCCTTTGCTCAGCAGAGCTCTTTCCTGCCTCCTTGTGAAGAAGGATGTTTTTGCTTCCTCTTCCACCATGACTGTAAGTTTCCTGAGAGCTTCCCATCCTTGTGGAACTGTATGTCCATCAAACCTCTTTCCTTTATAAATTATCCAATCTTGGATATTTCTTCATAGCAGTATGAGAAGGAACTGACACAACCCCCAATCTACCAGTTTCTGTGGGAGGATATGAGATAATGTTCCATGGTGCCTTGATCCAAGTTACAAATCTACCTCCTGTCAAAAAGATATAAGAAGTTTGCTTTTTCTATGGATAAAATCAATCAGCTTACACAGATGGTCACCCCAATTACCAGATGAATCTAGGATGAACTGTGTATGACAAATGGTGTTATATAGTCCTCTTACTTGAAGACTATTGAATGTTTACCTAGAAAACATGTATGTGATGGGTTATATATATCAACAATATAAAAGGGTTATATATTATATATTTTGTGCTGCTAGATCTTTGCAAGCTCTTAGTGGATTGCCTATGATAAGCATCACATTCTCATTTAATGCTCATTCAATAATAAAACTGTTTACTATCTCTACTACCTTAATGGAAAAACTGTTTACTTTTCTCTACTACCTTAATGGAGGGTTGGGAGATTTTGTTTTTAATTATATTTCCTCAACAGCAAAAAGGAAATTACTCTATAACTGAACCCAGCATTTATCAGGCCAGCCCTGTGATAAGCACTATCAGCAGGTCCCATTACAGAATTTCTACCATTGCTACTTGTCTCTGAGGTAACTTAAACAAAATTTGATTACTGTAATCACTCCTCAGATGTGTAATAGGTAACTTTAGGCTAACTTATGTACCATTTTGGACTTTCAATCTCTGCCTGTAATTATGGTAAGGCTGTGATGAGTCTTTCCTTTTTCCTTCATCTGGCTGCTAAAAGCCAACCATCCTCAGTTCTTTGAGTTTACCCCCATTAAAGTAGGCTTCAATCTGAATATTATTCTCAGCAGCTATTCTCAGCTCCTGCCTGCTCCCCCTTATATTTTTCTACAGTCCCAAATTATGGCCAAATTACCCTATTGGAGGATAATTCTCATCTTCATGCTTCACAATTAACTTCATTTCAAACAGTATTTCTCTTACCTCAGTTTGAAATTAGGAATAACTTTCACATTGAAAGGAATGCACATGTATACATGTTTTCTTTTCAAAGGATGGTAGAAGGTCTGAGGTAATTCCACCATGCCTCAGGCACTTTTTTTTTTCTTTTTATCAACAGATCAGGACTACATTTCAATTGGCAATTATCTGTATGTCAGCTAACTTAGTCTCTGGAGTTTTAGCATCCTGCTTCCAAATTGTCACAGTACTGTGATGTCCCAGGTTTAAGATGTCAGTAGCACTGATAGAAAGAGCTTACATGGCACACAGTATGGTAGGTGATGTTCATTAGTGATGCACCTCAACTTATTTCTGAAATCTGATTTCCAGACACAAGTAACATTCAGAACATCAGCTCATTTAATTGGAAGTGACTTAATCGCTAAGGAAGGAAAGAACCCGTGCTTTTTCAGAATTCACTGGCTTCTGAGTTGTATCACTCCTAGTGATTTAAATGATGCCCAGGGCTGCTTTTGTATTCAAGAAATATGTATTAATTTTAATGAGAACCCCAGTAGGCTGTCTCATCAGGGAATTCTATATGTTCTTTTTCTACTGTTAGCAACAATATTAATACAGTTGCTTGACAAATAAATCTTTCCACTTTAAGATACCACATGTAAGGGTAAGTTTCCTTTTTTGCTTGTCTATAATTACAGAAAAAATTTTCAAAAAGAGATCACCACAACATTTTTGAACCTTCAGTCAGTGACTCTTGAATTAGCAATTGTAGCTCCATTGCACCTCCAATGTACTCTGGTGCACAGCGAAGGAAAACTACCATTTTCCTTAACCTAGAGATTTTTCTTGCAGCCATACTATTATGCTATATGTGTAGGCCTCTGGCAATGATGCTATCTAATCAATATCTGGATTCACTGAACCACTTTAAAGGGACACAACAAAATTGTGGTAAAAAAATCATTATGATTGTGAAATAATTATCAGAGTGAGAAGACAAACTACAGATTGGGAAAAAATATTTGGAAATCATACATCTGATAAAGTATTAATATCTAAAATATATAAGGAACACAAAGAATTCAATAGCAAGAAAACAAATAACTGGATTTTAAAATGGGCAAAGGACGTGAACAGACATTTCTTTAAAAGAAGACGTATAAATAGACAACAGGTATACGGAACAATTGTAGGCATCACTAATCATCAGGAAAACACAAATTAAAAGCCACAATAAGATATCACCTCATACTTTTAGGATGACTTTTAAGAAAAAGTTGAAAGAAAGCAAGTGTTGGAAAAGGTGTGAAGAAAACAGCGTACTCTTGTACACTGTTACTGGGAATGTAAATTTATACAGCCATTATGAAAATCAGTATGGAGACTTATTAAAAAATTAAAAATAGAATTATCATATGATTGAACAATTCCACTTCAGATATATCTTCAAAGAATATAAAATCAGTATGTCAAAGAGACATCTACACTCCACTGTTCATTGCAGCATTGTTTATAATTTCCAAGAAGTGAGAATAGCCTAAGTTATCAACAAATGAATGGTAAAAAAAGTGACAATACATAGAATATAGAATATTTTTCCCTTTTTAAAAAGAAGAAAATCCTGTGCTATCATGCGAATGTTTGTGTTCTCCATAAATTCATATGTTGAAACCTAATTTCCAATGTGGTGGTATTAAGAGGTGGGGCCTTTGTGAGATAATTAAGTCATGAGGAATCCACCCTCATGAATGGATTTCATGCCTTTATAAAAGAAGCCTGAGTTAGCTTGTTTCCCCTTATACAAATGTGAGGATACAGCTAGAAGGTGCCATCTTTGTAGCACAGAGCGAGCCCTCACTGGACACTGAGTCTGCTGGTATGTTGGTTGGATCTCCTAGTCTCCAGAACTGTGAGCAACAAGTTTCCATTGTTTACAAATTACTCAGTTTACAACACCTTGTTATAGCAGCTAAAACAAACTAAGACCTCCTATCATATGCTACAACATGAATGAATCTTGAAAAGATTATGCTATGTGAAATAAGCCAGTTGCAGAAAGACAAATGCTTCATGATTTCATTTATATGAGATATCTAAAGTAGTCAAACTTATCAACCCAGAAAGTAGAATGGTGGTTGTCAGGGACTAGAGGGGAGGAGAAAATGTGGAGCTCCTGGTCAATGGGCATAACGTCTCATTCATGCAAGATGAAAAGTTCCTAACAATCTGCTGTACAGTGGTATGCATATACTTAACAATACTGTAATGTACACCCAGAATTTAATTAAGAGAGTAGCTTTCATATTACATTTTCTTAACCACAGTAAAAAAGAATCAAAGTGGATTAAAAACTTACATGTAAAACCCAAAACTATAAAAACCCTGGAACACAACCTAGGCAATACCATTCTTGACATAGGCATAGGCGAAGATTTCATAATGAGGATGCCAAAAGCAATCACAACAAAATCAAAAACTTGAAAAAAATAAATCTATTTAATTTAAGAGCTTCAACAAAAAAAAAAAAAAAAAAAAACACCCCAAAAAACAAACAATAAAAACTATCAACTGTGTAAACACACAACCTGCAGAATGAGAGAAAATATTTGTAAACTATGCATCTGACAACGGTCTAATATCCAGCACCTATAAAAACTTTAAATACATTTACAAGAAAAAACAAACAAACCCATTAAAAAGTGTACAAAGGACATAAACAGATACTTTTGAAAAGAAGACATACATGTAGCCAAGAAGCATATGAAAATAAGCTCAATATCACTGATCATTAGAGAAATGCAAATCAAAATCACAATGAGATACCATCTCACACCAGTCAGAATGGCTATTATTAAAAAGTCAAAAAAAAGAAAAAAAAAAGAACAGACGCTGGCAAGGTTATGGAGAAAAGAAAACATTTATATACTGTTGGTGGGATTGTAAATTCCATTGTGGAAAGCTGTATGGTGATTACTCAAAGAGCTAAAAACAGAACTACCATTTGACCCAGCAATCCCACTAATATATATATATATCCAAAATAACATAAATTATTCTACTATAAAGACACATGCATACACATGTTCACTGTAGCACTATTCACGATCGATGTGTAGTCAACCTAAATCCCCATCAACGACAGACTGCATAAAGAAAATGTGGTACATACACACCATGGAATACTATGCTGCCAAAAAAAGAAATGATTATATCTTTTGCAGCAACATAGATGGGGCTGGAGGCCACTATCCTCAGCAAACTAACTCAGTAACAGAAAACCAGATACCATGTGTTCCCACTTATAAGTGGGAGTTTAATTACAAGAACTCATGAACATAAAGAAGGGAACAACAACAACTGAGGCCTACTTGAGAGTGGAGGGTGGGAGGAGGGAAAGGATCAGAAAAAGGTAACTATTGAGTACTAGGCTTAGTACCTGGGTGATGAAATAATCTGTACAACAAACCCCCATGACATGAATTTACCTATATAACAAACATGCACATGTACCCCTGAACCTGAAATAGAAATTTCTTTTAAAAAGAAAGAAAAATAAATCATCTTTATGACCACTATAGTCCAAACATAATTGCCATAATGATGAGTTATGCATTACGACCTCTACCCACACACATAATATGTAGCTAATAATGATGGCCAAGCTTCTCACCTTCTGTTCATGCTTCGCAATCAATAGCGTTTAAATTAAGAAAAAAGTAGAAAAATTATAGAGCTCTTTAATCTTCATTTTCATATGTCTCAATGGACAGTAGTACTTAATCTTGCACATTTCTTGGGTAAAATATGTGTAATCTATTTAAAGCGTAAGATCAATTTCTGATATAGAGTGGGCATAAAAGAAATAGTGGTTATCATACTAAATACATATATTTAATAGTATACTTTCTTTTTCAAGACAAGGTCTCACTCTGTCAGTCACACTAGAATGCAGTGATGCAGTCACAGCTTGAGCTCGCGTGCTTAAGAGATCTTTCCACCTCTGCCTCCAGAATAACTGGGACTATAGGTGTGTACAATCATGTCCAGCTAATTTATTTGTATTTATTTATTTTTTATGAGATGAGGCCTCACTGTGTTGTCTGGGGTGGTCTCAAACTCCTGGGTTCAAACTGTAGAAGAAGATGACTCAATTATAAATGGAAAAAAATAACACAGAGATTTACACAGGAAACATAGACATATGTTTCCATAAAGAGGTATTGTAGTATTCAAGTCACTTAAAGTTATTTTAACATGTGCTGATTTGTATTGTTTTTCAAAATAATTTACAGCTTAACTTTCTGAAAAAACATTGATCTTTCAAATGCCACTGTGTATAGGTGGTACTAAACTGACTTTAGCATGAGTATTAGCAAAATCTGGTGTTACCTTTCAGCTTTAGCTGAATAATTAAATGCTAGTTGTTCAATTCTGGTATCTATGAACTCATTGTGATCAATGGATACATGATCATGTAGGTAACCTTTCTACCTAGTTATTTGAACATCATTAAAAATATCATAAGTTGCAGTGACACTGTGGTACACTATTGAAGCATCGTTTTTCCTGCAGCCAGGAATGATGAATGCTGATACTCATTGCTGAGTCTTTTTAGGTAAGTTGCCTCTCACTGAAGAACCTGCCTTGCTCAAGATTATATTCTCCCCCTTGTGAGCAGACTACATCTGATAACTGCTTGAAGTGGGGTGCAAAGACCTTGGCCCCTTGACTCAACTGATAGTCTATTTTTTTTTTTTTTTTGAGACGGAGTTTCACTTTTGTTGCCCAGTCTGGAGTGCAATGGCACAATCTAGGCTCACTGCAACCTCCACCTCCTGGGTTCAAGCGATTCTCCTGCCTCAGACTCCCAAGCAGCTGGGATTACAAGCATGTGCCACCATGCCTGGCTAATTTTTTGTATTTTTAGTAGAGACAGGGTTTCTCCATTTTGGTCAGGCTGGTCTTGAAATCCCAACCTCAGGTGATCTGCCTGACTCAGCCTCCCAAAGTGCTGGGATTACAGGCGTGAGCCACTGCCCCCAGCTTCAACTGATATTCTAAGTAGTCATCTCAGCTTCTGAATCCCCTTAGGATCAGCTGAGGCCACTTTTGCAAATGCACCACAGTTTAACTTTTCCCTGTGCCTAATCTTGCTTTCTCCATCCCTCACAGGTATTGTATATGAGCACTCCCTGTGAACTTCCTGTTTGCAAATCTCAGTCTCTCTCCCCAGAGACCCTGACTTATAAGGTGAATGTAAAAGCATGTCATTTAGATTTATTATTTTTACTAACCTTTTATTATGTAAATTTTCAAAAGAAGATTTTTTTAAACTTTGTATCATTCATCTACCACCTAGATTCTACCGTCTACATTCAAATTTATCAAATGTTTGTCCACTTAGTGATCTTAGATTTTAAAGAACACATCCAGGTGTTAAAAAACAACACCTGGATGTGTTCTTTAAAATACTGATAATCATCACAATATGTAAAATTGCAATGAAAATAGACTTTTAGCAAATATAGGCTACATGTTAAGATATTTTGAACCACCTTATCTTATACTTACATAAAATGTTCAACCAAGATAGAATAAAAGCTATTACACATCCAAAGACTGAGCAAATGAAAGCAAGCCTTATTATATATACGTGGCGGATAATAACACCACAATACCAGTATCTTCAGGCATACCAACAACCAATGGTTGCTTTCACAACTTTCCTTGCTGAAGTCTGCTGAATAAATCAAATACATCATGAAGTGTGAGTCTTTCTTACATGATGCCTGCTGTACAGACCCTCCTATCATTCCTCTTTAGAGAAATTGCTGAAATGTCATGCTTGCCAATGAGAGGCAGACAGAAATCTGACTGCCAGATAAAAATTCAGGAACAATTTTGTCATTCTAAAAGTCAATCATATTGCTCTATTGCAAAAATTCTAGTCCAAAGTAAGGACAATTTTTCCTCAAGTGATTGAGTGAAGCAGCAAATATCTGTGAAAATAGTAGATATAAAAATATAAGCAAGAGCCAAAGTAAAAAGACTTTCTGCAAATATTCTGAAAGAATATTTAGAAAGCATCTTTTTCCAGGTAGACAGAGAGCTTTCGGGGCTGCATCACTGGCATCATTTTATAATCACCATCCAGCCCAGGAGCTCAAGAGAGGGGAACTGAGTCCCTTAGAATTAGAGAGATGGGGAAAGTTGAATAATGGGTATACTGTTACATCATCTGTATCTTAGACGGCAGGAGCTAGACAAAAGAAGTTGTTCCTCCTCTAGCCTCAGTGGAAAATGAATGCCCATTTAATATAATTACCATGGGAGCAATCTATCAGGTGCTGTTGAAAAAACAGTTTCTATGCTTTAAAATGCAATTTCTAAAATTATAACAAAAGTATAACAATTAACCTTTATTTAATAACAGTTCAGATTTATTTTTGTTTTGACATGTTCTTTCTATATCATGATATTCACACTGACCAACTGTTGATTTTAACATTTTCAGCATTCAGCCAAATGTGTATTCAATACACCTCTACTGAATTTGATAAAGATTTGCTTTCTTTTTGTTAAGATGCCATTCTATTTCTATGTTAAAATTAAATTTTATGAGTTTATATTTGAAAATTATATAATATTCCTGGGGAATCCTTTTCCACTAAGAACTTTCAAGTACTTTTAAAAAGCGCTCTTAAGATTCCACCTCTCAATTATCCATTTTGGAGTTAATACAAGTTTCCACAAAATTTTTAAAAAACTATTTTATTATTGGAACTATGCACCCTGATTTCAGAGCTTGTATGGAATTATTCTGGTTTTGAAACTTTTATTAAAATATATTTTTTACCTTCTGTAGACAGCATAGTCTGTACACAGTTCTATTCTTATATTTTGTTACTGTAGACAATAAGCCACAAATTACATTTCGAATAAATATTCAGGCACCCACCAAATATGAATAAAAGAGAAATAATGAACCTGGTAGCACCTGTGAGAGAAATGGAACACTTGTGTCCTGGGCCGGATGCTGCTGTGCTCATTTGCATAATGAGCCCTGATTCACTGGCTTACCAGAAGCAGTTGCACATCTGGGCAGTGGCTTATGTACACGTAAAGGCAGTTTTAAGAAATAGCTGGACAAATATTTCATAAGTCTCAGGAAAGAAATGAGAAAAGAGTGCCAAATGGAAATGAATCATATGAAGGGCAAAGGGCATTAGAGTAAATTATAAACAGAGTGCAATTTGCCAGTTTAAGCAGGAAACAGAAAGAAAAAGGAAAGCTTTCTGACACAAAGACTCTGTTGTCCAAAGTGATATTCTTTCAAGTTAAAATGTGATTAGCATGTAAACAGCTAGATAGCCCTAAATATAGCAACTTTGTTGATTGATATATTTAAATTAATTGTGGCTCATGCCTACGATCTCAGCACTTTGGGAGACCAAGGCAGGTGGATCACTTGAAATCAGGAGCTCCAGACCACCCTGGCCAACACAGTGAAACCCCATTTTTCCTAAAAATACAAAAATTAGCAGGGTGTGGTGGCACACACCTGTAGTCCCAGCTACTTGAGGGGCTGAGGTGGAAGAATCACTTGAACCTGGGAGGCAGAAGTTGCAGTGAGTCAAGATTGTGACACTGCACTCCAGACTGGGTGACAGACTGAGACTCTGTCTCAAAGAAAAAAAAAAGACAAAAATGTATATGTTTATTTTGTACAACATGATTTAAAATACATACACATTATGGAATGGTTAATGAAACTACTTAACATATGCATTACCTCACATAATTTTTTTGGTGATAAGAACAATTAAAATTTCCTTTCTTGGTGACTTTTCAATAATACAATGTAACTGTAGTTACCATGTTGTAAAAATAGGACTCTTGCACTTATTCTTCCTAATTGAAATTTTGGATCCTTTGGCAACATTTCCCTAACTCCCCACCCTTCCCAGCCACTGGTAACCATCATTTATTCTCTACTTCTATGAGTTCAACTTTTTTAGATTCCATATGTAAGTGAGATCAGAGAGATCATACAGTAGTTGTCTTTCTGTATCTGGCTTATTTCACCTAATATCCTCTGGTTCATCCATATTGTTGCAAATGACAAGATTTCCTTTTCTTTCATGGCTGAATAGTATTCAGTTGTGCATGTACACCATATTTTACCTGTTCATCTGCTGATGTATACTTAGGTTTTTTCCATCTCTTGGCTATTGTAAATAGTGCTGAAATGAATATTGGAATGCAGACATCTCTTTGACATACTAATTTCATTTCTTTTGGATATATACTCTGTAGTGGGAATGCTGGATGACATTGTAGTTTCATTTCTAATTTTTTGACGAATGTTCATACTGTTTTCCATAACACCTGTGACTGTCGGAGAGAATGTCCTAATTCACATGTAAGTACATTGTAAGTAATGTAAGTTAGTACATCACCCCCAACAGTGCACAGGAGTTCCCTTTTCTCTAAATCTTCACCAACACTTGTTAATTTTCATAATTTTTTATAAAAGCCATTATAAGAGGTGTGAGGTGATACCTCCTTCTGGTTTTAATCTGCATTTCTCTGATGATTAACGATATTGAGCATTTTTCCTATATATATTCGCCATTTGTATATCTTCTTTTGAGAAATCTCTATTCAGGTTCTCTGTCCCTCTTTTAATTGGGTTGTTTTCTTGATATTGAGTTATTTGAATTTTTTATGTTTTGGATATTAACCCCTTTCAAGATGTCTGGTTTGCATATACTTTTTCTGATTCCACAGGTTGTCTGTTCACTCTGCTGTTTCTTTTGCTGTGCAAAAGCCTTTAGTTTGATAAAATCTCATTTGTGTATTTCTGCTTTTGTTGCCTGTACTTTTGGGATCAAATCCAAAAAATCATGGGTGAGGCTAACGTCATGAAGTTTTCCCCTATGTTTTCTTCTGGTAGTTTTACATTTTCAGACCTTATGTTTATGTCTTTAATCCATTTTGGGTTGATTTTTGTATATCATATAGGACAAGGGTATAATTTCATTCTGCATATGGATGTCTTAGTGCCCTAATACTGCTTATTGAAGAAACTGTCCTTCCCCCATTGTGTGTTCGCACCTTTGTCAAAAATCAACTGACTGTTAATGTGTGGATTTCTGGACTCTATTCCATTCCATTGTTCTCTGTATATGTTTTTATGCCAATTCTATGCTGTTTTGTTACAATAGCTTTGTCCTGTATTTTGAAGTCAGGTAGTATGATGCCTCCAGCTTTGTCTTTTTCCTGTATATTGCTTTGGCTATTCCCAGTGTTTTGTGGTTCCATATGCATTTTAGGATTGTTTTTCTATTTCTGTGAAAAATGTTACTGGAATTTTGATAGAGATTGTATTGAATCTGTAGATTGCATTGCATAATATGAACATTTTAACAATGTTAATTCTTCCAATCCATTAACATGGGATATCTTTCCATTTATTTGTGACTTTTTCAATTTCTTTCATCAGTGTTTTATAGTTTTCAGTGTACAGGACTTTCATCTCCTTGGTTAAATTTATTTCTAAGGGTTTTTTTTAATAGCTATTGTAAATAAAATTGTTTTCTTGATTTCTTTTTT